AAAGAGTGTTTTAAACAGTTGTGAAAGAGAGGAAGGGGAGAGCTAAGACTAAAGAGGTTTCAGCAATGTTTTGTGTAAACCCCAGGGTGATCTTGGGTGGGACTTTGCTTAATCTTTCAGAAGGGCAGCCATTTTTTGGCCTTATCCAAAGACTTGTCCAAAAGTGATTTTTCTAGTTCAACATCAGTTTGTCTGTCAACCCCTTCCTCATCTGTCTTCATCTGTGTGTGTGAGGTTTGTGCTATGTTTCGAGAGCATTATTATTGTATTTTGGTGAAGTTTTGCCTGAAAGTGTAGAGAGAGAAGAGTGGAGGGGAGAAAGTTATTCCAGAGTTTTAGGTGGTGTCTTAATTTTTTGGCACAAAAGGACCTCTTGTATATTCTAGCTCTCCCATGAGCTTACAGAATCTTCTGTAAATAACTTGCTGTCTATTGGAGGAGAAGATTATCAGGAGGGAGTTAATTTCATGTGCTTTTTTTATATTAATAGATGTAGATTATTTATTTAATTGCATGCACAAACACACCTGGAAACCTCCCTCTTGCTTTATTTTATTAGGTATTTCAATTATACAATTGTCCAGATAACTATAGCACAGATTTCCTTATGACATAGTCCTCGTGCTTCTAATGTTTCCTGTTCTGCTCAGTGGTCTCCAGTAAACCTGTTATTTTCTACAAATCTCTGTTCCTCATAATCAAATCCACAGAGTGATGAGGAATTCCCTGGAGGTTCAGGTACTTTGAAAAATGAGTGAAAGAGCTAAAAAGAAAGTAATGTAGGAGGTTATTATTAAGGAGCAGTAACCTTAAGGCAATAGGAGCTCTCAGTTGTGATTTGACATGATAATACAGGGTAGTTTAGATAAGGCTGTTCTGTAATCTCTCTTTACATCAGTGAATTGAAGCCTACATTATATTAAGAGGTCATTTGCTAGTCAAAAGTAAAAGTACTTTGACTATAATTTAGTGTTATTTTTATGATTTTTTTTTTTCCTCTGTAAATAAGAACATGCTATTTTAAATTTAATTAGAGACCTAAAATTGCTGACAATTTTTTGAGGAACTCGACTTTAAATAACTTATATGTTTATTGGTATTAATATAAATAGGTCCAAGTTGAAGGTTGGGCTGGCTTTAATCAGGAGTCTGGACCAGTTGACCTCCAGAAGAGAGGCCTTGAGTGGGGGAGGCTGTGTACGCATGCATATTAGTATTTAAAGCTTTTGGTTTTCTGTCTTTAAATTGATACTCTGTTTAGAAAAAAAGTAAGCAAGGAGGACTAGATCTTTTTTCTGTCTCTAGTTCCAGGTTTTTTTTATTATGTATTTAAAGTAATTTTGTTTACTTAAGAGTTTAAGTGGTTATGTCTAGGATACTAAATTATACAAAACAGAAATCTTAAAATGCTTAGCAGCTCTGTCATCTAAAAAAGAGATTAACTCCACTGTTGTAAGCACAGATTTAAAATACAAGCTAATATGAGATTGTCAATGTATTTTTTCATACTCAATATTCTGTTTTTACAGATAAGTTATGCATGCTTGTCAAAGGGCAGATATATTTTAAGTGGTTTATATGCTTTCTCTAGAAATAAATTGTTATCACATAATCAACAGATAATGAAAAAACCCATATATTTCAAGATGTAAATGTCTGCCCCATTTTTAAGTCTGTAATGAGACTCAGTAAATCACTCACGTTTATTAGCACTAGGTTAATCAAGACATTCTTTACATCCACAACTAGTTATATTTTCTTATTACTCAGCACTGCTTCTGCTGTCTACTCTTGAGGCAGTGTGACAAGTCCCAGTGCCAAAATGTTTCTGTTCATGGGCTGTAGTACTGAGGAGTGCATTGCAAGCATCATGCTTTGCTCTGTCTTCTTGCTATTAGTTTTAACGTTTATTCCTCTTTTGTCTCAGCAATATGGATAATAATATATGCAAGCAACCGTTTAGGGAACCATACAGCAATTTTTTTTAAAGGTTTGTATTCATTATCAGTGGAAAGTGCTGGACTAAGTATCTTTTCACAGTGCAGTTTCTTAGCAGTATAGATTTGAGATAGATGTTTTGGTTTGTTTTTTTTCATTTTAAAAAAGTTAATTTTAGCCCAAAGTGCTTTATGGTATCACTGTATGGAATGACTTTTTGAGTAGTAACAGAGAATTGGAGACTATAGGGTTATTGGCTGTGTTTTTTATTTACACTTTTTTTCAAAGCAAGAGAGTAGAACATTCCAGATTCTGTACACATTGAAGAACAGTCTGTTTGTGTCTGATGCACTAGAGCAGTCGCTCAAAGATTATACAGCAAGTATGAGCCCTGTAACGTTAGTCAAGGTTAGTTGCATTTTGGAGTTACCTTTCACATCAATATTATTTGTGCAAGGTGAAAGCTGTCAAGGGCTGAACTAATATGTTCACCTGAGTTTCAAGAAGCTATTCAAACATTTCCATGGACATGAAAATTGATGTAGCCTATCTTCTGTTTGCATGTGCACGTGTTGGTTTTTGTTGTAGTTTCGATGTTGTTTTTTTAAACAAACACTTTCACTTTTAAGTTAAATCTGTCCATTTTTGAATCTACAATCAATGCCTGTTTCACACTGTTAACTTACTTGCATAGTCCAGTCTAGGTTTTAGTAGGTTCAGTATAACTTCTGCCAACCATAACCCTTGTCTGGATTAATAGATGGAAAAGAGAAGGTCGGTGACCAAAGACACTGAAAAGGAGACGAGAAGATTGGGATTTACTTATGATTTGTAGAATGTAATCCCTGATTTAGATATACAAGCTAATCTGTACAAGGAAGAGCATTTCTTAGGCATTGAAACTTAGTATAACAGGTGAGAGGGTGTGGCTGTATTTTGAGGGGTTTATCTAGTAAAAGAAAATGTTAGGTATAATATCTTGGCTTTTACTGATGTAATTGTATTTTAGACTTTTAATTTTTGCTTTATATACCTATAAAGGACATTATTCCACCACCTTTAGAAATGGAACAGCCAAATACAATGTAGAGAAAGCAAATAAAAGAGTGGGGTTACAGAGTAATTTTTTCTTTCTTTTTTAATATGGTAATGTTTTTTTGTTTTAGAATTTCTTTTGGTCCTAGTTTCATTGTTTGCATTTACATAGAAGTTTTCTATGTAGAGCTGAAGAATTTCTTTAGAAGGAAACTGGGAGTCAGAAAATAGTCATGTAAGCAAGGTTCTGTCAGAGTTAGGAACAAGTGTCAGGTTCATAAATGTTTTAGCTTCCCTTTTTAGTAGTTAGGTGCTGTGGAAGATAATGCTTTTGTATTTGTTATCCTTGTGTGGTTCATTACTGATTTTTGAAGTAAATAATTTTCTTTCCTATTGGCAATTTTTTTTAATATGTACCAGTTAATTAAGCTAACCATTTAACCTGTCATTAACTTGAAAAAATTAATACTATCCTCTTGATTATATTAAAAAATTAACTTTTTCTTATATAGCTCTCAGTCCATTATCCTGACAATGTTGGATTGTGTTGTGTTTCAAGAAATCAGTGATAAAAATAACAAAAGAGCTGCTTGTTGTGATTTTTTTATAACACATGTAGATATTAGTGTGAATATGGATAAGCAACATTGGTTCATTAAAAAAAAGGCAGATTTTCAAATACAGATAGCAGACAAAGTTGTTGTTCTAAGCCACAGCTCTTTTTTTTGGCATAAGAAAATGCAAACACAGTAAGTGTTTACACACATTAAGTGAACAGGCAATGTTTTTTGCTGCTTGCTGTTTTATCCTTCTCATGTTTCTCTTTGTTTTGTTTTTGTTTTGTGGCTTCATCTTTTTCCTTTGTCATAGACCACAAATTTTGAAGAACTTAATAAAGCAATTAAAGAAAATGAAAAATCCCAAGAGGTCTCAAAATAAATAAAATTCAGCCACAAGATGTCAGTATAATAAAAGTTTAAAATATTTTATTTTTGTTGAAACTCCTTTACTGAAGCTGTTATTCCCAGTGTATATTGTGCTTGTGTACTGATTTTCCAAGTTTAAGGGAATCGTTCTGGCTTGTTGTTTTTGCTAGAGAGAGAGCAAGTCCAGAGATGGTACATTAAATCAGAAGGAAACTCAGTTAATTTTCTGTGCTTCATCTGATACAGGATGATGCTGAGTTTTACCTGGGAATGTGTTTGCCCAACCAAATGAATTTAT